ACTCCTGCCACCAAGAAACCAAGTCTCCCTGGAGAAATGACCACTTCCAGGTCACAAACATCTGGTCAAGCAGGGTAGTGTTACCGAACCAAACTTGGTCCCCTCACCCATGGAGCAGCAAAACCAATGTACTGACACCGGCTTGTGGTGAAGGAAAGCGCAGCGTTTGTTTCAAGGCCGAGGAAGAACGGGAGGCTGGGCTCAAAAGATCCGAGCTCCCCAGTGGCTTTCAGGGAAGGGTTTTTAAAGACAGTGTGAGGGAGAGGGTGACAGGGTGTGTGATCAGCTAGCTCGTGCACAATTCTCTCCTTGGTTGATGGTGAGGTAATAGGGTGATTTAAAAAATCAGGAATCTCAATCATCAACCTTCTGGTTCCAACTGGTCTGGGGTCTATGTGACCAGCATGCAATTAACTTGTTCCACCTGGTGGAGGTTTTAGTGCCTGCAGACAACTGAAGGGTACGGCCCAGGGTATTATCTGTAGCCCCTGAGGAAGAACCAAAGGCCCTTGACCTTGTTTTATGGCTAAACTGTTATTAGTCTTACTTGAATATTTTCTTTTGTTTTTTTTTTTCTTTTCTTCTCATTAAATTTTTCTTTTTGGAACTCAGGGAAGGTCTAAGATGCTAAAGCTTTTCTACACACAAGAGGTGGGCAGGGGACACGGGGCCTGGGCAAGTGTCTGTCCCCGGGAAAGCTCTGTAGGGTCCCGCTCCGTTTCAGTAGCAAGGAAGCCATCTCAGACTCCTGGGGACATATAAAAAGGACCCGGCAGTCAACCAGTAGAGGTTGCCCCAGCTACAGAGGAGGGAATTTGGGCGTTAATAAGGATAACAACTCCAATGGATTAAAGCACACCAAACATATTTAAATTTGTGTTAATAATAACGATACTAAAAAAAAAAAATTTCCAAAAACCAAAAACGAATTGGTCACCACTGTAACAGTGCTGGGGAAACAATTATTTTCAAAACTGGTCAATAAAGAAAAAAATCAAGCATTTACCTTGCTTTTCCCATACAAACTGTACCACTGGATAACCAAATAGGCTAGTAAGTTTCTCTTTATAAAGGCATTTCAAAGTAAATAATAATGTTTCAGAAATTGAGAGAATATCATCATTTTTCAACCCTTAGTGAATTAATGGATCTAGGTATTGATTATCAGTAGTTGCAAACCGTATAAAAAGAAACATCATAAGTCACCTGATGGATGAAGGTATGTCTTGCCACCCATCCCAGCCCCCAAAAAAGAAAGGAATAAAACGAACTGGAATCTGATCAAGCTTTTAGGTTCAACAGCAGCTTTTTTTCAGCATTTATTTTTAGGGAATAAAGTTCAGAGGAACATGTTAAACTACACCCAGGGATACAATGAGCCAAGTCCAGGCTGTGGGAGATCAGAAAACACACAAATTACAAAGGTGTGTGTATGGTAGGGGGGATGGATCCTGTGAATAAAAAACAGACACAACTGCACTGAGATGCCACTGTGCACCTATGGAGATGGCTATGATCAAAATGACAAGTGTTGGCCAGCAAGTGGAGAAACTGAAGCCCTTGTACACTGCTGGTAGGAATATAAAACGGGCAGCTGCTTTGGAAATAGTCTGGCAGTTCTTCAAATGGTTAAACATAGAATTACCATATGATCTAGAAATTCTACTTTTATGTATAGACCCAAGAGAAATAAAGACCTATGTCCACACAAAAACTTGTACACAAATGTACACAGCAACATTATCCCTATCAGCCAAAACGTGAAAACAACCCAAATGGCCATGAACTGCCAAACAAATAAACACAATGTGGTCTATCTACACAAAGGAATATTACTCAGCCATAAAAAGGAGTGAAGTCCTGACACAGGCTACAATGTGGACGAGCCCAGAAGACATGATGCTGAGCGAACAAAGCCAACACACATAGCATGTGATTCTATTTCCAGGAAACGTCCAAAATAGGCAAATCCACAGAGAGAGAAAGATTAGCAGTTACCAGGGGTGGGGGGAGGGGGAGAAATGGGGGTGACGGTTACCGGGCACAGGGTTTCTTTTTTTTTTTTTCGGTACGCAGGCCTCTCACTGTTGTGGCCTCTCCCGTTGCGGAGCCCAGGCACCGGACACGCAGGCTCAGCGGCCATGGCTCACGGGCCCAGCCACTCCGCGACACGTGGGATCTTCCTGGACCGGGGCACAAACCCGCGTCCCCTGCATGGGCAGGCAGACTCTCAACCACTGTGCCACCAGGGAAGCCCCCATACCTCTATTTTTATGTTGAAAAAAATTATATACATTTTAATATATTTAAGTCTCTAATTACATTTTTTTAAAAAATCACACATTTCCATTCTGTTCTTAAGGCAGGTTAGTTTAATTTTGTAGAAGAAATACTTTCAAACAATACAAATGACACAATTAGAACAGTGACAAAAATAGAGATGAATACTGATTATAACTTATTCCCACAACAGAAGGTTACTTATTTCGGTGGCGACAATTACGTGACCAGATGAAGTGAAGACCGAATTCCCTTTTACTCATCACACTGTTTCTAAAGGACGCTGGTGGCAGACTTCGGAGTGTCCAAGGCACGATTATGGACAAACTTAAACATAAGAAAATACCCCTTAAGACGCCAGGACTTCACTTTTCGGACATGTGGGATATTTTCCAGGGGGTGGCAGTCTTAACTAGTCGGAAGCTGCACAATCAAATCGGGAAAGAGAAGCCAGTTAGGGTGCCTCGTGCCCTGCCTGCTGGCCTGGCCTCTGTCGCTGTCCACGTGCCACTTCCAGCACAGCCTGCGAGCAGCACGGACCCATCACCTCCCCGTCCCTCATCGGCCTGGCTTTTCCTTCCTTTCTGACTATGGTCCCATTCAGGTGTGAAAGCAGACAGACGCGGGAGGGAGGCGGAGCACAGGGGAAAGGTGCAAAACACAACACTCCTTGAACTGACACCAAAGCTGGGGCTGCATTTGTTTCTGGTGGGGCAAAGGAGGGATTTCTTTTTTTTTTTTTTTTTTTTTTAACTCTGGGAAGCATTGCAAACAGAAACCTGTGTCTAGCGGGCAGTGACATTTGAAAACCCTTGCGGGTATTGGCACAGTGGGTTTCCCTACTTTGTAGGGGTTAGCAGGAAAGCCACCTCAACCTTTCCACCCACTTAGAGCTTCAAGTGGCAGTGCCTAAACACAGGCCCGGCGACGCGGCCGGGGCTCTCCCACGTCTGGGGAGCCATGTACCTCAGACGCATATGACTTGCTCTCCACACACCCCCGAGTCCAGCGGCAGCCAACCCATCAGGTCTTAAGTTTCAACAGCTGGGGACAGAGACGGCCTGCCACCAACCTGACCCGTGCAGCAACGCTGTCTCCCAGGGGGGCACTTCTGGCAAGCACTCATGTGTTTTGTGTCTCTACCTCTGTTGTGGGTATATATGCAGAGAAATCCGCAAAAGAAAAAAGAAAAAAAACTGTGACTGAGGCAGAAATACATAGCAAGAAGTGACAAGTGTGAAAAAGCACAGAGTGTTTTCAGCCTTACCACCACAGACAACTTCACTGTCCGTGATAGGTCACATATCAATGAAACGCTTTCACAAAATTCATTTTTAATAAATGTGAAAAGGAAGGTGGGTTATACAAGGGAGTGCTTACAGACGAATGAGAAAAGAGATGCTGCTGATTAAGGGGGGAGGGGCACTTTCAAGGGAGGGGCACAAAGACCCAGGAGGAGGGTTCCGTTTTCTCTTACATTTTGTGTGACTCAGCTCCTTTACTCCTCTGAGGCCTCATGAAGAAGGGTGCATTTCATATATAATAAATACGTATTAGGCAAACTATACCACCTGGCATTTTTAAAGGATGGTAGAGTTTTATTACGTAAAGAATTTTTTCCTCATGAGCTAGTTCTAAGATTTCTTAAGAAATATTGGGACGACTCCAGTATGGGGCGGGGGCCCTCCGATCGAAAGCACATGCCCTCCTGTGAGTGACTCGCCGGGTAGTTGTAGTTCCCACGGAAGCTGGCTTCCTCAAGAAAGCGCCTTCAAAGGTTATCGTGTCCATGTCGTGACTGCTCTATCCATCAGCGGATCCAGTGACTCAGTGAAAACGCAGCTTCCTTCTTCTATTTTCACTTTCCTGCAGGGCAGAGCAGCAGAGCAGAAGCTCCACCACTGCCCTCCTTGTCGGTCAGGATCAGATGGGGCGGACTGGAAAGGCAGGCGGGGCTCCCGAGGCCGGGTGAGGGTGGGCTGTGTGGCTGCCGGGGGCTCCGTGACCAGCCTCAGACCCGGGGTGGGCACGGAAAGGTGCACGGAAACCAGGGGCTATGGGTGCCCAGCCCGCGCGGGAGACCGAGCTCCGCAACGCGCACCCCGCACTGACTCAGGACTGAGCCCCTAAGGTGGCATCTTAACAGAACACAAAGGGTGCGAAAGTGTACAATATACATGATAAATGCACAGAGGAGAAACGGGACAAGTGACGAGCTCAGCACACAGTGTTTGCATTTCGGATGTCAGACACAAAACCGGCCCCAAAGTTCCATTCTACCGTATGACAAATACTGAAGAACAAAATTTCAGTCTTAAAATACATCTTAAAGTCAGTATTTTCCTTCAAGGAAAAAAAAAGTACTATAAATAAATTACAATACAGTGAATTTGCCTGAACTCACTTCGTTTCTGTCTTCCAGCCTTTAAGTCAAATAAAACAGCGTAAAAACTGTACACTCTTAAAATGATAATTGATCTCTTATAAAATAACCTGTCTTCAGAGATGTCAATTTCACAACAAGGAAAAACCAAGCCCTGTTGCCGTCACTATTATAAAATATATATGTATAGATATATGTGTTTTGTTTTTATTTATTTTTTACAAAACGTGTATATTAATAGCTTTGCACAAATATTTTAAAGACAAATTAAGCTAGTCTAAGAACTTCATGAAAATAAAACAGGCAGATAAATACTTTATGTGTACAAAGCACTACATCAAACATCGTCGGCGGGCAGAGGAGGTACGTTAATCCTTGGTCTTGTAAAAAATGCTATCTTCTCCCTGCGATTGGAAAGAATTACAGGTTAGAGGCTGACAGAAATGCAGTGAAAGGTGGCAAGAGGCTCTGCCATCGATGACAGCTTTTCTTACTCAGAGAACACACTGAATTTCAATCCCCAGGAGCACATCTGTATACAAACCCTCTAAAGTTTCTTGCCCCGGCCCCCTCTCTAAATTTTAATAGAACTTACAAAGCCCCATGAGGGCAAGGGTTTGTCTCCAGTGCCTAGAACAGTGCCTGGTATATGTAGACGCTCAGCAAATATTTTCTTTATGAATAAATGAAAAACTATACAAGGAGTTCTAAATCATAGTTGAAGGAAGACAGCTATAGTGTTTTATACTCTTTTATGATGGGGAGGTAAAAATTCAAGGTATAAAAAAGTTAAGGCTAGACGTCAGGCACATATTATTTAGCCCTAAAAAGGAACACTGCACTGATTCATGCTACAACATTGATGAACCTTAAAAATACTATCCTAAGTGAAAGAAGCCAGACACAAAAGACCACATACTGTATGACTCCTCTTATATGAAAGGTCCAGAACAGGCAAACCCATAGAGACGGAAAGGAGAATGGTGGCTGCCAAGAGCTGACGAGAGGTTGGCATGGGGAGTGACTGCTTACCGGGGGTACAGGGTTTCCTTTTGGGGTGATGGAAGTGTTCCGGAACTGAATACAGATTGTGACTGTACTAAATGCCATGGAATTGTTCACTTTAAAATGGTTAATCTTATGCTTCGTGAATTTCACCTCAATTTTTTTAAAAGCCAGACACGAAGGAAAATAGATTGACCGGGTGATTTTCCTCATATAAAAAATAAAAAACAGGGAAAGCTAATCTACGCTATTCAAATTCAAGATGGTGGTTATTCTGGTGTGGGAAATCTGGGGGTGCTGATAACATTTGATTCTTGCCATGTAGGGTTTATGACTATTCACTGAAATATTTCATATACAGGACGATATGCACGCTTTCCTGTATGTCTATTATGCTTCAATCAAAAGTTAACTGAATTAAAAAAAAAAGTTAACTAAAAAGTCAAAGGTGATACACATATGTATCTATATGTAGATCACTGTGCTGTTTACAGGAGCAAACATTTGGAAAGAAGCAGGGTATAAAATAGGTAAATTATATCTGTTAGATGAGGCATTACAGCCAAAAACGATAACAGATGATGTGGCAACATGGGGTATTTTAATTTAAAAAGAGCTAAATGCAAACTCGAACCCACACTGTGATTACAAGCAGCATGAAAAAAACAGTGTTTAGAAAAAAAGATCGGAAG